AAGCACATTGTTTTGGAAGCTTCCCATTTGGTCTGCCATCACAAATGCCACCTTATCAACAGGTAACGGCCACTTTAACATTTACTTAATACTAAAAACGAGTCGCTAAACAGTTGAAACCACTGAAATTCTGAATGGGAACTACTAATTAACTGGACTGGTACAATTACGGTACAAATTTCCTCTAAATTCTTCAATTTGAGACACTCCTGGTGGCAAGGGGATTGGATCCCGAATAGATATTTACCCACGTCGAACGTTCTCCCCATCTCTATGCGCTCAGTTAATTGGTACCAGACTCGTCTGGAATGATAAAAACTCTTGAATTTGTCATCGGCTGGCAACCGCAACTTATTGTATGGGCACCTACGCATTCAAATCGCTACTAAGATTCTGACTGAGGTCAGATGCAGGGGCGCATTCCAAAATGGGAGCAAGGTTCCTAACGAAATTTCGGTTCCCTGAGGACCTTTCTTATAAAAAATAATTCATTTTACGTGCGGAAGTCCAAAATGAGCTCGATGAAGGATCCCACCTGAAGGATAAAAGCGTGATGGGTAAGTCGTAGGAAACCCAAGGTTATGTGCAATGCAACTCCACACTCCTATCCGTAGTATTTGGTTGATCCTTCCTACATTTATCATTTTCTTGTACTTGAAGGAAGGGATTACTGTGAGGGTAGCGTGCCTTGTTTGTTCTTTCCAAGGCAGAGCGAGAAACTACGGTATAACATTTTTGTGGTTCGCAATACCTGGGCTACGGTAGGGATTTCAGGATTCAAACGTAAGACATTCATCCTTCAAAGAGTAGAATTGAATAAAATCAATGCAAAGGAACCAAACAAGTAAATAAGCGGCAACTCATCAAAAAATCGGTCGTAAGGATACGGTAACCTGAGGAAGTGTCTTCGCTTGTGTTACGATAATTTGGCCATTGGTAGATTGGGAACAGAAAGGCATTGTGTTTGAAATGTGCTGTTTGGCAATAACTTTGACAGCAAAGTAAATATGAGAATTGTCTGTACCTTCTAAGCAGTGCTGTAAATACTATGAACTCGTTTCTTTGACCGTTTTCTGATGGATTTTTCTTTCAGCCCCCGGTACCACCACCACCGATGCCGCTCCCATTCGACGATCGTCGGCTAGTTGCTCCTGCATCAATCGGTCAAAACGTCCCCATGCAATCGTCAATGATGCAAAGTTTTGCCCTTCCCGCGTCCACTCCGTCCCTTCCTCCTCCACCTCCTCCTTTTGCGTTCCCTTCGTCCGGAGTCAGTGGAAGCAGTAGTGGAGGTGGTAATGCTCCGAGTAGTAGCAGTGGTAGTGGGCAGCCATTCGGTGCATCGGCTGTCGACTCTTGTCAACAAATTTCTCATGTATTACAGTGTTATCAGCAGGTAATCGATTATCGATTGTTCTCCTCTACCACATCTGCAACGAACCATTCAAGGGCGGAGAAGATGCTGAGTTTGTGCGGAAAGCTATCGAGAGCCTCGTCAAGAAGCTGAAAGAGAAACGGGTCGAGTTGGATGCGTTGATAACAGCGATAACCTCTGCTGGGAAGCAACCTACAACTTGTGTGACCATACAGGCAAGAATGCTAGCTTATTTATCTCTACTTCTCATTATACGGATGATATTGATGCATGCGGTATGTGCCGCAACGCGGACGCCCGTGTCTCAGACCTGTTGGCTCAGAATTGTATAGCTGTTGGACAGGGCTTCCTTGCTGGCTTCATATCACTCTCCTGTAAGTTAATTTCACTTAGATGGACTGATGTTATTTCAGCGCTCACTGGATGGACGCTTGCAAGTGGCTGGTCGAAAGGGTGTACCTCATGTCGTCTATGCCCGGATATGGCGCTGGCCCAATGTCAGCAAGAACGAGCTCGTGGTAGGCTACTACGTTTTTACGGAGAACGCTTATCCTCCAAGCACAGAAGGCTTCAGCAGAATTGTAGTCTATTTGATGCGGTATCGATTTTACGCGCGCAATTCATTCTTCCCATATTTTCATAAGGCCTTCTTTGAAGTATAAAAGCGGTATCTTATTTTTTCGAGTGATATTTAAAACATGAAATTTAGAAACTCTCGATGTGTACCATACCGGCAGAGCATCAAGACTTCATCTGCATCAATCCCTACCACTATGAGCGCGTTGTGTCCAATGGCCTAGCACCGCCAGGTGGGTAAGTGGCTGAGGCAAGCCAACATCCTCTTGTCTTGTGGATGGGAGCTGATTCTTCTTCTCTGCTGCCCTTCGTCGTCCTCTATGATAACAGAGATCTTTTGCAGACCTAAAGTCACTCCGAGTTGAGCCAGCTCCGCCATCAATAATTAACAAAGCCGAGTTCCCTGTCCAAGACTACGAAATGAGCGAAGCTATTCCGAATAACTCAAGTGAGTATTCTCAAGCGATTCCGCTTTCTAAAGCCGACTTTGTGGAGATTTTGTTTCCGTATAATTATGGTTCTATCTTCTCAAGTCTTTCTGTTCCTCTCTCAACATTTGATGTATCCGCTTGATGACGACAATCGAGGAAAGCTCCCTGTACACAAGCGAGCAATGTTGCCCTAGTGCCGTGATTTAATGTAAACCTACACGAAAAACGGCACCTGTTGTCATAAATCCGATCAGACTCCGAGGATGAGTAAGACCATCCGTCAGTTTACATAATTGAGATCGGGGGCACACTTATTCCTACGAGGTTAGTTCAGGGGACAGGCAGCTAAACGTGACTAATCGTCAGCGGGCGTTCGAGGGAGTTAAACTGTGGGCAGTGCGTCGATGGATTTGAGATTTCTGAAGAAGGTGGCACCTTGTGCAAAGCTGCTCCTTACTGTACTTCCTAGATGACCAACGGGATCCTATCCTTTTTGTGTCGACTTGAATTTCATCAGCACAATGGATAAAGCGACCTGGTGGCGTCCTCCTTCGGGACTGGCATTTTGCTGCTGGAGCCATAGACACAACTCACCCAATGTCACCTCGGCACTCCTGCGGCTATCGTACCGGATGGAAAATCCATGCCATTAAAGCTAATATCAGAATGTGGCCCTAGCTGGCAAATTTCGATATTCTTTTAGATTTCATCGAATGGGCGCCGTCCTGTGCTCTATCGCAGCAGGATTCATTTTCAGGTACAAAAGAGCACTGAAATTCTTTCATTTGTAATTGAATTAGATTGCATGAAGCTGAGGCCACAATGGGGTGTGGGCGAAATTACCCATTCCTCTCGTTTGCCGTCCGTAATACAATCACAATCACATACACAGATGAGAATGCGGGATAGTCCCGCCCACAAGTACATCGTGTTCTCTGTCTTTAGTGTCTCGCTTTTATTTATTCTATTCTATTGAAATCAATTTCTCTGTTGTTTCTCAGGTGGTCGCTCATCCGTCCAAGGCAGTCCAGCAGCTATTCAAAACTGTGAGCAACTTTGGTTATCCATTAAAATTTTATTAGTTCTCCTCATCATTGGCTGATTGTGAACCTTGGGATTCAAATGTTGTAACATGAATAAACCTTCTTTCTTAGACTCCATGGTTTTTGTTTCATGGTGTCTAAGAAAAGAGAATATGTTAGGATATTTGAGAGGGAATGGGCCTTTGATAAAAGCACATGCACTTCTTCGTGCAACGTTGATAGTGAGTCGGTAGAAGCTGAAAAGAAGGAACTGAGTAAGCAGTTAACGAATGCAAAGTCCTAGGCTGTCAACCCTTCGGAGGTGGATGGAAGGCTGGATAACCAGACCGCCAAAAGTCTACCATCAACTGGATTTTGTAAAGGGTGTCTTGGAGTCCATACGGGTTTAACGGCTAATACTTTTCTAAGAAGGACCTGCTCCAGTTCCTGGTTTCCGAAAGTCGATTTTTTTTCCTGGTGTGAGCCATGGAAAACGGTCATGTCAACATCAACCCCAAAGCGAAAACAGCTTTATCAGGTAAGCGAACAGGAAACTGGTTAGGCCTCGAAATAGCTGATTGTGAGCTTAAGAAGGCTGATGCATGAGCACGCATATGTACTTGTCTGCGAGAAGTAAAAAAATGACAAATCACATAAGCAACTATTTAATTTTCATTGAACTATCCCCTACTCTTCAACCTTGAAATATCTTGTATGTATAAACTAACTACTTTAACCATCATCTTTATAAATGTTCTCATTCAGATGACCTCAGCCAAGTCCAGCTGCCTACGATATCATGTGAGTATCATCATTACGTTTTTCATTTCGAAAGTGAAAATGGGGCGTGAAGGGGGAGCGGATTAGTAAGAGACCCCAGGGAGGTGGGTGATTTTTAAAAGGCACTCTACTCTAAGTCGCAGTGCTATCATAATTCTCAAGAGAGGGCCCTTTATAGATTGATGGCGAAGCTAAAACAACAAATAAAGAAATTGTAGCTCGAATGGGTGATCCAGAAGGAGCGCTCTGTAAAGAAAACCTGAAGAGAACCCCTAGATGCCTCATGAACCGCCAGACATGTTCCCAATACCTTGCTTGGGAGGAATTGTAGATTAAGGAAGAGTCCCAATTAGGCCCATACTTTGTGGGTGGCTTATGGCTGAAACATTTCCGGTTTCCTCCTTTACCGTCGTACTTATTTTCGGACTACCTTCAATATCAATGACTATAGCTTTCAGTACCAGAAGATTGGTGTTCGGTGATATACTACGAATTGGACACACAAATCGGCGAAACATTCAAAGTAAGTCAGTTTTTTTCATCGATGCTTCTTCTATTAAACAATTAGCAATGTTCGTGGGATCGCTCCCAAAAACACCCTCACTGAGCCTAAATTTCGTTCTTCCAATTCGGACCAAACTCTGTCGGTAGACGGTAGATTTCCTGCATCGGTCTAACCCCATTTGGGAAACCTGTGCACTTAGAACTTTGCATCACCTACTGATCGCTCAACCTACAGTTCGTACCTACATGCATATCAATGAGCCGTTTCATGATTAATGAATTCTTCAGATTAAAAACGACGAGTTACGTGTTGACGGTGGTATGGACCCTTTGGCCCTTCATAAAGGACGTCTCTGTCTGGGCGCGTTGCCAAATGTCCATCGTAGTGAAGTTAGCGAGCGAACAAGGTATGGATTTGAGCTCTTCTGGAGGAATGTATGCCCCTTCGAGGCCCTTGAGACTTTTGAAATATCTTGCACAAAGATTACATTCAATCTAGTCGAACCTGTGCTGTAAAGGGGCCCTAGAACGAGAAAATTTGCGTGATCCTTCTAAAAGGTTGGTTTTCAGGATTCATATCGGAGACGGTGTTGAACTGCGAGCATGTCCGTCGGGTGATGTGATGATGTCATGTCGATCACATAAGCCGATCTTCATTCGATCAGGATTTCTCGATTACTGCAACAAGATTCCATACGGCAACAAACCGCATCGCTTCACACAGGAGAGCGAAGCGACAAAAGTGGGTATTCTCATAGTTACATGACTGGAATCCAGATTCNTAGACTGAGCGCTAGTGGTATCTTTCAGAGTGGTGAAATTGTGTTTATGAAAAAGCTCTTCGCAGCTCTGCTTGGGAAATAACATGCTCCACCGCGATGACTCAGCGGCGGCGCGGACGCGTACGCGGTCTGGTCGCCGAGGGCATCGGGTTCGGCGCAAGGCGCTCTTGCGTCAAAGACGCTTGACGCTCTACTCTGAAAGCACCCCGTGAGTTCGCGCGCCACCTTGTAAGAAATTATTGAAGGGAGCTGTACAACGATGATTGAGCGACTAGCACCTAGCACTTGTAGACTTCACCCTGATTCTGGGATAAAATTCAGCAATGAGTATGCCTGATGTGTCAGCTACAGTTCCATATTCCAGGTATTCGATTTGAGATGGGCTTATCACGAAATGATGTGTAGGACTCGTTCGGCCAGTGAAGCAGTCATGGCTCAAGCAGCAGCTGTTGCTGGATTTGCACCCGGAGTTGAGGTGGAGTGCTGTTCTCACAACTGATATTCTTTTGTCTAACCCGGCAAGCTATGCCATATTGCTTAATCGGTATTAATTTTCTCTATTTGGCATCTCTGGCCACATGCTACACCCCTACGGAGGTCTTAGCGTTTCAGTGCAGTCTTGTCCCTCCTTGAGATTTTTAAACTCCCCAAAGAGAAGCTGGCTTAGATGGAATCCGGCTAAGGTCGTTAGCCTATGCATTTTTAAGTCTGTTAAAGAGCTATGTAAGATGAAAAAGGGCTCTTGCCGATGAATTAATCAGCATTTCTTAGCTATGCGACCAAACTGAATGCATTTTTAAACAGTTCACATACAGTATTCATAAATCTCTTACGTGAGTGTTCCTCTACAGAATTTCCCTGAAATGATGGCCGATTCGGGCGTGGACGGCATGCGAAGTGCCTTCTGTACATTGGCAATTAGTTTCGTCAAAGGTTGGGGACCTGGCTATCCGAGTCGAAGCTCGATAAAGGTGGGTATATCTAACGTTCAAACAACCGGATTACTGTAGTTATACTGTTCGTTGCAGGACACACCATGTTGGATTGAAATTCAGTTACACAGACCGTTGCAACTGCTCGATTATTTGCTCAAACATGCTCCACTAAGCAACTGAAAGCTTAGAACCTGAAAAAAAATCAACTGAACAAATAATTAAACATTTGATCACAGGTAATTCAATCTGGTAGTCATGAAGTACCATCGAAAACACCAATTTATCTTGTTATCATTGCTAGTGTAGGTTTACTCCTTTATAATACTCATTCTTGATGTTATCGAACTGGACAGATCGTTTTCTGAACAGAATTAGCTTAACAGCATCGTTAGGTCAGTGAAGCGTGCGGTTGCGCGGCGGCGTCATACAGCGGCACCCTGCACAGAACACGCGCTCTCTCAACTATAAACACGGGAACGTGGTTCTCGATAAGTTCAGGAAACGATCTAAAACTTTGTTCTTCGATGTTTTTACTTATTTTAACCATATGGGAAGTATTAATCACTGTTTTGCCATATTAGAAATTGATTTTTTCACTGACGGCTCATGTACATATCTATTTCGTAAGAACATAGTCTGCAGGTGAATTCAAAACCTCTTGTTAGTCACTTTTTCTCTATTTTCTATCATTACTTCTTGGGATCCTGTTCATCACTTCTACCAGGCCACCCTGAGCCATGTTCGTCGAAGTAGAGGCCATATGGAGCAAAGTAGGACAGGCCTTCTATGTTCTCAGTTCTATTCTGTCAGGTATTTCGAGGAGACTGCAAATTGACAATGATTTACGAGTAGCCTTCGATTAGGTGACTTATAATGTTGCACTTCCGCGGGCGTGTCGTCACGTCTTCGCGACTTTGTCATGTCAGGACCACACTGACGCTGTCTGCGCTCTCTGACCGAGATAGTCTTAAGTGGCGTAATGTCGGGCGTACAGAAAATTGCCGTAGTGATAGGACCGTCTGACGTACCCGCACGTGTAATTCAAGGGTGGCTGCTTTCATAGTCCACGATTTGGCCCGCGACCGATCGCGCGATCAGTCGCGGGCCAAATCGTTGACTATGAAAGCAGGCGGTGGCCTCACCTGAAGTGGAAGGCATCACCAGCAGCTACTCATCAGATGTTTGTTGAGTAGGGTAGCTCAAAGCTGGGGTGCTTTCCACTGAGCAGTTCTAGTAAACCCTATACCTACACCAAAGTTTCTTTACCCATACCTTCTAGGGTAGAGGTCAGCTTGGTCAGCCTTCTTCTAAGTTTTTTTAGTGCCAGACCTCTATCCTTTTACTTCTGTATCACTCATCCAAGTTGCCATATATGTACTTGTAATCGTTTTATCATCATAATAAGACTTCAATCGAATTTGTAAATATCAAACGGTTTTTTTTTATTTATTGCATTTTTTGCCACATCTAGTCCTTCTTGTCTTTTAGTTACGTTGTTGTTCAATCGTGGTTACTATAAATGCGAATAATGACTAGTACATTGCTCATTTTATCTGCTTCATATCCCTGTATAAAGCTTATACCTCCCAAGTAAACTGTTCAAACAATCAGAGGGCTCTGACGATAGAGACTGTCTCACTAGCCAGTCAAGTGAAAGACTCGTCTCATGCATGGTGGGCGTGCGGTCTCAAAGCAGTCGGTCATTCAAAAAAACCAATGCTGAAACCCGGATCCGGTATCTTCTCCCCGAACATGTGTCGCGCTCGCCGCACCTGCCGCGTATCGCATAAATGCGATGGAAGATTGGAGCGCGCAATTTGTGAGTTAGGTAGCCCTTTAATTATTTGAATTTGCTGGCCGCTCTTCAATTCCGATGCGGTTTTGATCGTTGATAGTATATGTAGGAGAAGTCATCGCAAACAATCAAGTCTAATAAACATAAAAACGAAAAGGAAACAGAAGAACAATCAAAACTAATCAAAAAAGAAAGGCAGTCAACGAAAAATATTGCATCCTATTGGTTGGCGGGAGGCGGGATAAGTACTGTAAATGCAGTTTGAACCCGCGGGACAACTAAAAAAGATTTGCCGCATGCCGCAAAGCGAACGTGAGGAACCGGGGAGAAGTTCCATCACCCCTGGAACCCGACTCCCACAGTAACCCAGCCGGGGAGACTGGCAGTAGGAACGGTTTAGGGTAATCGATTCGTCGCGCGCGCGGCAACGCGGACCATTTGCTTCGTTATTACAGTTCTAGCGCTCTTCAGACAGCTCAATCGATGTGTCATTACCATTTTGTCATGATTCTATTGTTAGTTCTTTTGCTCCTGTATTTCTTACTTGCTGCTGCATTCTGCTACATTCCTTCGCGCGCGGCGCCTCTTTCGCCGCCACGTGACAGTTTCGTTCCTACTACACCACACCAACCCAACCGTCGGTCCTGACCCGAACGAGTAGTTGTAATGCAACTCAATGCAATTATTCTGAACTTTCAGAGTTGTGTTGGTTGAATTGCTCTATTTCTTGTGCAGAGATTCTATTAGCTGCAATCTATTTATGCATACTCCTGTGAAAATCATGGATTATTTTAGACCAAACAAGACAATGGCTGCACTTGCAAAATTGTGCTGATTTGGGTGGCTACATAGATCTAAGAAGGGAGAGGCTTGACAGCATACCTTGTCCGAACTATTCTTCGTAAGTGATTCACCATCCTCAGCTTTTTTGCAGCCAGAGAAGTTTTTCACCTATTTTTTAGTGAAGTTTGAAGTTTTTAACAATGCGAATAGTGAACTATTCGCATTGTTAGAAACCACGGAAATGCAAAATCAATAAATCACAGGAATTAGTCTGATACCATGAAATGGGCGTAGTAGGGGTAGCATTAAAAAGCGTGCTATCACAGATATGGCTCAGAGATTGATCCCTTACTGTCATACAACTAGACCAATCAAGCCTTACGTCGCCAAAGGTCAGACGGTTGGAGTCAGCCTTATGAAGGACAGATGGACTGGCTTATAGATAGGATGGTTTCGACAGATAACTTTATCCATTAAGGTTTACCCCCGAGAGGAAACTCATCCAAACGCTTTCCGTTTGGTACTGGTGTATCCCGTAGAATTGGCGCACTCCGCTCGTCCTCGTTTTTTGATCCAATGATTGGCTAACTAGACTTTGCGTTCCATTTTCTAACGACCTAACATCGAAGGAAATTAATTTCAGGCGAATAGTGCGGATAAACTACCCATTGTGGACATGGAATGGCTGTAGAACACAACAAAAGTAGTATCGTATGCCTGGAAAAAAGACCCATGTGGTTCTTGTTCCACTCGGCGTCCTAATGCACCACTGAACTCCATTTCTGAAAATTCTACTCAACCAACTGCCAACTGAAACTCAAAGTCAATGCATGTTCCCCAGTTTTTCTCTTATTTCTTGCAAAAAATGAAATTTGCCTTCACAACACCATAACCCAGTCGTGCTCTGTAGGGGACACATAATTATTAAACCGATTTATACACGAGGTCATAATTTCATTACAAGCACATAACGACAATAGTCGGAAATATGAATGAGTGTTCTAATTTTAAAATCATTGCTACCACTACGAATCAAAACGTAAATCCGGGTTTCGAACCATCAACTCCATGAACAAGACGAGATGTATTAAGAAAATATCATTTACTTTCGAAAAAAAAAAACAGTCACGCAGTATTTGACGCCGCATAACAAGTTGGGAAATTGCAAAGCCCATCACACGAGAGTGGGGAAGAGGATGACAATACAGAGACTGGAGAACCTAATTATAAATCATTTTCTCAGGTGCACCACACACATTCACACTTAACACCTATGTACATGAATCATTTTTTGCCCTTCTTCGGCTGTGCTGCTGGAGTATTCCTAGGAGGCGTCACAGGTCGGTTCGTGCCCACACCTCCATATGGGAATTTCTTCTTTTCGGCGGGTTTCAGGATCTGAAAGAATTTATTCCTAAATAGGTAATGCAAAGAAGACAAAATCACAAATGACAGAAGTCAAACAGAAAAGAAACACCTTCCAAGCAGTTCATATTATGTGAATATAGGGGACAAAGAACTACCCTCACATGAAACTTCAGCAGTGCAGCGAAAAGCAGCGGGTCTCATTCCCGGAAAATCCACTTGTGCTCCCTACTTCCTGTTCCGCTCAGTTGCACCCTAGAGCGCTCACATATATGCGACGGCTTACATGAACAGAGATTATTCCACGGTAGTTAGGAACGTTATGAAAGATTCGCCAGGGTAGCATTTGCACAGTGTTCATAAATTTTAATAGCGCCTAATCATGATCATAGCATGACACGCAGTACTGAGGCTTAGAGATTTGAAACTCGTCGATATCACGCAATCTCTAAACAACGCTCAACACTGCCTTGATTATAAGAAAGGTAAGAGTAGCTGCATAAGGTATTTGGAGAATAATAATATTAACAGGGCGGAGTAAGGCCAACTGCTATACATTTGATGCAATCGACGAACATCAAAGTGGGAGATAATGGAACTCACACTCGGCCATGGACTAAGAGAGGGACTTAAATTCAAATTTGATCGTTCCCTTAGAGGCAACATGCTTCAGCTCGTGTCGCTTTCCAGAAATTACAATTCACTTGCTTTTATCCCAAGGCAAACTCTTGGCAAGATGCATCTCTTCTTTTTATACAAGCGGAAAAATGCAGCAACAGTTGGCAACATTCAAACTCTACCTGGAAGGAGCACATCAGTGTCTCATCGACGGTCATCATTGACCCAGCATTGTCAAACTCTCCACAATAATTGGGTGCTGAGAACAAAGTGACTAGTTGTCGCTTGGCAAAGAACTCATACCCGTCCTCCACTACCTGAAAAGGAACATATGTTAGTTGCGAGAAATTTTTTCGACTGTGGTACTTGAATGAAGCCATTCCGCGGCTTCTAACTGTTATTAGTGGTCGCCGTTAGCTGAATCCTATTCAATTGTGTTTCAGAAGCCCTATAATGAACCGAACAAGAGGGGCACATTTTGAACGCGAACAAACGACCCAATGAATGCCCTTTCTGACAAACACTACAGTATGCTACCGTTGGCATCACAAAGAAACAAAGTGAAAATTTGTTTTCAAAATGTTGCGTTTTCGCTTATCGTCATATAAAAAACTAAAAG